GGCCAGGGACACTCACAGATCCTCCCTCGGGATTCCTCTGCAAACAGAACATGGAAATAAAGTCATTAATTTGGCAGGAAATTAAAAAATAAAGGTTAAAGTTTAAATTAAAATTAAAAATAAATTTAAAAGAATTTAAGAATAAAGGTTAAAATTTAAATTAAAATTAAAAATAAATTGAAAAAAATTAAAAATAAAGGTTAAAATGAAATTAAAATTAAAAATAAATTAATTTTAAAATAAAGGTTAAAATTCAATTAAATGTAAATTAAAAATAGAGGCGAAAATCAAATTAAAAGTAAATTAAAATAAAAGTTAAAATGGAATTAAATTTAAAAAAGTTTAAAAATAATTTAAAAATAAAGGTTAAAGTTAAATTAAAAAGAAATTCAAAATAAAAGTTAAAGTTAAATTAAAATTAATGTAATATATATAAATATATGTAATATATATACTATATATAATTAAAAATATAACACACTATGAATTCAATAACATAGTGTCCAATGCTACTGTTACTCATACTGCTGACACTAATAATAATTATAATTAATAATAATTATAATAGTAACAAATAATAATTACTTATAATAATCACTAATTATAATAATCATTAATTATAATAATAAGTTCTGCATTTACTATATCATAATTATTATTGCAAAGTACCCCATAAAACCCCCCTGAAGCAGCTGAGAAAAGGCACCAAAAAAAATAAAATTAAAAATAAAAGCAAGCTGATATAAAAAATTGGGTTTAAAAAACCTCAAGGAAATAAAAATAATTAATGAAATCAAAGGGTTTTTCCCCCGAACTCACCCAGCTCCTCCTTGAGCTCGGCTGGGAAGGCACAAACAGGAGAATTTCCATGAGAATCCCCTGGAATTCCCGGAATTCCCACCTGGGGAAGGGTCCCTGACTCACCCAGTTCCCTGTCCCGTTGTTCTGCAGGAAAAAGGCCAGAAAAGAATAAATTTAGTGGTGTCACGGTGTTGAAATGGCTTTTTTGGGGGTTAAAATATTAGTACAGATCTTTATTATTCATATTTTTGTAATAATACATTTTATTCTAATCATTATATAGTATATTACATATTATTTACTATGTTTATTTATACTTACATATTACACACTATGTATTTTCTATATTATATATTCTTTTATCATGATTTTATTTATTATAATAGCTTTGTAATAATATTTTATAACAATATGTTTTATTATAACCATTAGATTGTATACTATGTTATTCAGTATATTTATATATATTTATTTATATATTACATAAAATGCATTTTTAGATTATATATTATTTTATCATAATTTTATTTATTATATCCTTGTAGGAATAACACATTTTATTATAATATATTAATATACTGTTAATGTAACAAATATAAATAAATAATATGGTAAATAAAAAAACTGATTATTTGTTAATTAATATAATAAATATTAATGCAATAAATTAACATATCAATATATTAACTACATTAATAAAATGTAACCAACAGCAAAGGCTATGCAGTGCATAAAATATTTAATATTTAATACCAATACATTAATAAAAATAAACTGTGAAGTGGAATAATATATCATATAATACCTATATAAAATATCCATTTATTTTACATTTATTTCACATTTATTTATCCCCTTATTTTTATTTATTGTTGGGGTATAAAATACATCAATATATGATTAAATATCATCCATATATTTATAAATATTTACCAAGTGCTGCCTCCAGCTCAGCTGGGAGGGGGAAAAATCCAAAACTCCTCAGTTTGGTGGGAGAATTGACCCAAAAATTCCCAAATTTCATGGAATTTTGGGGAGGGGGGAGGGGACACACGCACCGATCCTGGCGTCTCGTTCTCCTGGAAAAAGGGCGGAAAAAAGGGGGAAAATTCAAATTATTCCCGAGAAATTCCCTCCTCTGTGTCCCTCATCCCAAGGGAAAACCCCAAACCTGAGGAATAATTCCCATTTTAGCTCAGATCCCTTAATTCCCAATCCCAAACCCCCCTTTTAAGCCCCAAAATCCCAATTTTTAAGCCCAAAAATCCCCAAATTTTCAAGGGAAAATCCCTCGATTTTCCAACCCCGAAGTTTCCATCCCAACTCCGTGTCCCTCAACCCAAGGGAAAAACCCAGAACTGGAGGAATAATTCCCATTTTAGCTCAGATCCCTTCATTCTCAATCCCAAAAATCCCCACTTTTAAGCCCCCAAATCCCAAATTTTAAAGGGAAAATCCCCCAATTTTCAACCCCGAAGTTTCCATCCCAAGGGAAAAACCGGAACCTGAGGAATAATTCCCATTTTAGCTCAGATCCCTTAATTTGCAATCCCAAATCAAGGGAATAATTCCCATTTTAGCTCAGATCCCTTCATTCTCATTCCCAAAAATCCCCACTTTTAAGCCCCAAAATCCCAAATTTTAAAGGGAAATCCCCCGATTTTCCAATCCCTAAGTTTCCATCCCAACTCCGTGCCCCTCATCCCGGGGGAATAATTCCCATTTTAGCTCAGATCCCTTCATTCTCAATCCCAAAAATCCCCACTTTTAAGCCCAAAAATCCCAAATTTTAAAGGGAAATCCCCCGATTTTCCAATCCCTAAGTTTCCATCCCAACTCCGTGCCCCTCATCCCGGGGGAATAATTCCCATTTTAGCTCAGATCCCTTCATTCTCAATCCCAAATCCCCACTTTTAAGCCCAAAAATCCCAAAATTTTCAAGGAAAATCCCCCCGATTTTCCATCCCAACCCCTTTCCCAGATTCCAGGAATTTTGGGACTCACCCAGCGCCACCCTGAGCTCCTCTGGGAACCAAAGGGAAAAAGGGAGTGGGTTAATTTGGGATATTTTTCCCCCCCATCCCAAAAAATCCGTCCCCGGAGCAGGAGCCAAACCCACCGAGCCGCTCGTCCAGTTCCCCTAAAAAAGGAGGGAAAGGAAAATCAGGATTGGAAAATCCCTTGGGATTGAAGAGATTCCTTTGGGATTCGGGGGTTAAGCAAATCCCTTTGGATTCCAGGGAAACCCCTTGGATTGGGGAGATTCCTTTGGGATTGTAAAATCCCTTTGCATTGGAGAGATTCCCTTGGGATTCTGGGGTCAATCAAATCCCTTTGGATTCCAGGGAAACCCCTGGGATTAGGGACATTCCCTTGGGATTTGGGGATCCAAATCCCTTTGGATACCAGGGAAACCCTTGGGATTGGGGAGATTCCCTTGGGATCGTAAAATCCCTTTGGATCGGGGAGATTCCCTTGGGATTCGGGGGTCAATCAAATCCCTTTGGATTCCAGGGAAACCCTTGGGAATTGGGGAGATTCCTTTGGGATTCAGGGGTCAATCAAATCCCTTTGGATTCCAGGGAAACCCTTGGGATTGGGGAGATTCCCTTGGGATCGTAAAATCCCTTTGGATTGGAGAGATTCCCTTGAGACGGGAAAATCCAGGGGCTTTGGGAACTTCCTGGGAGGAATTTGTTGGGAATAAAAAAAAAAAAAAGCCCAATTTCAGCAGGAAAATGGGGAAAAATGGGGGGAAAAATGGGAATGGGAACGACTCACTCTGTTCTCCCAGTTCTCCCAGTTTTCCCAGTTCTTTGGGTTCCTCTTCCCGTTCTTCTTCCTGCTTTTCTTCCACTTCTATTGGTTCCTCTTCTTCCTCTTCTTCCTCCTCTTCTTCCTCCTCCTCCTCCTCCTCCTCTTCCTCTTCCTTCTCTTCTTCCTCCTCTTCCTCTTCTTCCTCTTCTTCCTCCTCTTCCTCTTCCTCTTCCTCTTCTTCAGGGAGTTTGTCTGGAAAAGAGCAAAAATGCTGAAAAACACCCGAAATCCCAAAAGAATCTCCCCAATCCAAAGGGTTTCCCTGGAATTCAAAAGGGATTTGATTGACCCCCGAATCCCAAGGGAATCTCTACAATCCAAAGGGGTTTTACAATCCCAAATCTGGACACGAAAACCCCCCCAAAACCCCTTAAAATTCCCAAATCTGGACATGAAAACCCCTTAAAAATCCCAAATTTGGACACGGAAATCCCCCCAAAAACCCCTTAAAAATCCCAAATCTGGACACAAAACCCCCCCAAAAACCCTTAAAAATCCCAAATCTGGACACAAAACCCCCCTCGAAACCCCTTAAAATTCTCAAATCTGGACAAGAAAACCCCCCAAAACCCCTAAAAATCCCAAATCTGGACAGGACAAAATGAACTCACCGAGCTCCTCCCTCAGTTTTCCTTTAAAAGTGGGAAATAAAACAAGTTTTAATCGGGGTTTGCCCTTCCCAAGGACGGGAATCCCAAATCACCCAAGATGGGTGGAGACTTTATGTCTTTTAATTTGATTTTTTAAATGGAATTTCATTAATTTGGGGTTTTTTTGACCCCTCAAATCCGCAAGGGTCCCCAAATCCAACAGCACTTACTGATGACAACGTCCTGTTCTCCTGAAAAGGGAGTAAAAAAGGGATCAGAATTCCAGAATTTTTCTATTTTGGGGGGTCTACGGGGGAAACAGCAAAATTTAGTGGGTTTGTGGGTATTTATTTAGGGGGTTTGTGGGAAAAAAATGACATTTTGGGTCTTTAAGATAAGTCTGGGGCCTTAAAACAGAGCCCGGAGCTCAGAAATTGGAGTTTGTGCCTCAAAATGAGGGTTTGGAGCAAAAAAACTGAGGGGTTGTGTCCAAAAAATGAGGGTTTGTGTCCAAAAAATGGGGTTTGGGGCCCAAACATGAAGGTTTGGGCTCTAAAAATGGGGTTTGGGACTGTAAAAATGGGGGTTTAGGCCTCAAAACTGGGGTTCGGGCCTTGAAAATGAGGTTTGGGCCTTAAAAATGTGGTTTGAGGCCTAAAAACGGGGTTTGGGCCCTAAAAATCCGGGTTTGCACCTTAAAAATGAGGTTTGGGCCTTCAAAATGAGGTTTGAGCCCCAAAAATTTGGGTTTGCACTTTAAAAATGGGGGTTTGGGCCTTGAAAATGAGGTTTGGGCCTTAAAATGGAGTTTGAGCCCTAAAAAATGGGGGTTTGGCCCTAAAAATCGGGGTTTGCACCTTAAAAATGAGGTTTGGGCCTCAAAAATGGGGTTGAGGCCTAAAAATGGGGTTTGGGACCCTAAAATGGGGGTTTAGGCCTCAAAAATAGGGTTTGGGCCCTAAAAATGGGGGTTTGCACCTTAAAAATGAGGTTTGAGCCCTAAAAATGTGGTTTGGAACCCTAAAAATGGGGGTTTAGGCCTCAAAAATGGGGTTTGGACACTGAAAACAAGGTTTGGACCTTAAAAATGAGGTTTGGGTCTTAAAAATGGAGTTTGAACCCTAAAAATGTGGGTTTGGGACCCTAAAAACGGGGGTGGGACACTCACCCAGCTGCTCCTTCAGGTGCCCTGGGGGAGGCAGAGAGAGATTAATTCAAATTAATTCAAATTAAGAGCACCAAATTTATTGATATCAGTCAATTTATGGGCTGTTTTATCATTATACATTATTTAATAACATAAAACAATATCTGAGTGACTTACTGATCTCGGCTTCGTTTTCCCCTGGCAGGAGAAAGAGATTGAAATAAATAATTTACTTTTAAAAGCCTAAACAAACAAACGTAAAAATGAACAAATGCAAGGAATGGCTTCAAAAATCCGCAAAATACTCACGGATTTGGGTGTCTCGGGCCTCTGGAATCAGCAGAAATAAATGAAATTATATTTCAGGGAAATCCAGTTTAATCCCATTATTCTTTAATGCATAATTTTACCAGCCATCATTTTACAACCCCCATTTATATCCATATATTTTATAGAGATATTTATGTAATGCACATATATTTATATATATTTTAGTCTCTAAGATCAATTAAAAGCCAAATTTCCCCCTTAAAACCTCTTAAAAAGAGGGAAATCCTCACCCAGTTCCGCCTCATGTTCCCCTGGGAAAAAGAAAACAGAGAAAAATGGGAATTTCCTGACGTTCCTCATTTCTTTTTGATGGAATAAATGAGATTATGAAAAAATTGGGGCACTTACGGAGCTTTTTCTTGCAGCACTCTGGGGAAAAAACGGGGAAATTGGGTTATTTCGGTTATTAATGATAAAATAATGATTATAAAAAGAATTATTAATATCTGTTATTTAGTACAAATAATTAAATCGAGATTAAAAGGATCAACTCACCAACGTCTGCCGTGAGCTCCCCTGAAAACGAGGGGAAAAAAGGGAATTTCAAGGGCAAATTTCCCTTTTCCCGCAGCCCCAGCAGGGGGAGGTTTGGGAATTTCCAGGAATTCCCTTCCCAGAAATTCATCCCGGGATTTTTTCCCCAAACTCACCGATTTTCGTGTGTCTCTCGCCTGAAAATAAAAAAAAAATCCCAATTTTGGGGTTATTTCTCAGGGTTGGAATTAGTTTTGGGGTAATTTAATTAAAATTGAAGGACGGAACTCACCGAGTTCCACCGTGAAAAGTCCTGGAAAAGCAGGAAATTCCATTAATTTTTGTTGGATTTTTTACCCCTTCCCTTCCCAGCTCTTCCCGTGGGATTTGCCCCTTTTTCCCCTGGAATTTGGGTTTCTCCTCTCGGGCCCCAAATTTTGGGGAATTTAAGGAATTCCAGGGAGGAGACAGAACTCACGGATTGTGGCGTCACATTTGGCTGCAAGGGAAAGCAAAATGGGAAATATAAAATATTAAATATAAAGTATAAAATACAAAATATAAAGCATAAAATGTAAAATTAAAATGCAAAATATTAAATATAAAATATAAAGTATAAAATATAAAATATAAAGTATAAAATATAAAGTATAAAACATAAAATTAAAATACAAAGTATAGAATATAAAATACAAAATGTAAAATATAAAACATAAAGTATAAAGCATGAAATATAAAATATAACATCAAAATATAAAATATAAAAAGTAAAATATAAAATATAAAACATTAAATATACAATATAAAATGTAAAATTAAAATATAAATATTAAGTATAAAATAAAATATAAAATATAAAATGTAAAATAAATATAAAATATAAAAAATAAAATACAAAATATAAAATTGAAATATAAAATTAAAATAAAATATAAAATATAAAATAAAAATATAAAATGTAAAATATAAAATATAAAATACAAAATATAAAATATAAAACCTCGATTTTAAAGTCACGCCGAGCATTAAAATTAGAAATTAAGATTTAAAACCACAATAAAAAGTTGGTTTTTCAGGGCTCTGGCTCCTTTTTTTTCCCCCCTCCCCCAACACTCACCGAGCTCTGATCGGAGCTTCCCTGAAAAAGCAGAGAAATAAAGTGAATAAATCCTTAAAACCGCAGAAACAAACTGAAAAAATTCTAATAACTGATAATTAATTAACCATAAATAATATATGATTTTAAATATGATTCAACTCTGACAATTTTAATGGTTACCACCACCAATTCTCACCAGAAATACGATTTAATAACCAATATATTGAATTTAACTGGGATTCTAATCAATTTTAATCCATGGAATTGGTTCTAAGTGGGGGGAACCCCCCAATTCCAGGCAAAGGAGCCACGTGAGGGGCAGAATTCCCAATTTTTGGGAGCCCCCAGATCCAGGGAATCGAGGCACTTACGGAGCCCGGAGTCGCGCTCGGCTGGAGGGGAGAGAGAGAGGGAGAAAAAACACCCAAATCAGAGGTTTTGGGGCATTTTTGGGGCATTTTTTCCATTTATAGTTCTAATTTTTTGCCATTTTTGTATTTCTAATTTTTCCCATTTTTATATTTCTAATTTTTCCCATTTTTAAATTTCTGATTTTTTTCCATTTTTATATTTCTAATTTTTTTCCATTTTTATATTTCTAATTTTTCCCATTTTTGTATTTCTATTTTTTTCCATTTTTGTATTTCTAATTTTTCCCATTTTTATATTTCTAATTTTTTTCCATTTTTGTATTTCTTTTTTTCCATTTTTATATTTCTA